AAATATATTTTTAAGCCCGACAATCCCCGATATTATATTATTTTAATATTATCTATTATATTTTATGATAATATAATGCTAGTTAGACGATGAATTAACAATATTATAAAAATTCGCGCCATTCGAATTGAGTAAATGAAGACCCCGGATTTTAAATTTTTTCGTTTATCAGCTTATTGAGGTCAGTTTTTCATACAACTTTCGCCACCGTTTATCGGGGCACCAGTTAATCGAGGATATCTGATAATCGGGGCATTTCTTCATACAAATTCGAGTGTGTGCCAAAAAATATCCGCTTATCAAGGATATCTGATTATCGAAGTAGCTGTTAATCAAAGTTTAACTGTATATTTAAATATTTTTTTGTTCCACTTTTAACTTCTGCTCTATTCTTCGATTTAAAGTGATATGAAGTAAAATAACATTCTTCCAAGTTGATTTTTTGATTAAAATTAAAAAAAGTTTTGAGTTCACATACACTTGAAAAATAATTTCGAAATTACAGGGTTTTTCGCAAATGCCCCTGTTTTGAAAATTTCGAAATTTGGCGCGCGTGCTAAATTTTTGTTAAAAATTAAACAATTAAATTGAAGTGGAAACAATGCCTGCAAGAAAGTTACGTCGTTTAGGACAAATCCGGAATGAATTCAATGACTTTGCTAAGATGTATGAATACGCCAAAGCAAAGCATGAATTTGTAAAAGTAAAAAATTCACAAGAACATTTTGATGAATTTATTGGCAACGAGTTGCAAGAACGATTCCCGCAATTCGATGTCAAGAAAATGGGATGGGTCACCCGAAACACCCGATATGAAGGCAAAGACAACAGTAAACGTTTGGTGAGTAATATTTTAAACCTACGTTATTTAAAGCTAACCTATTTTATTTAACGATATCTCGAGCATCTTAAATTGTTCAATCGATTTTCGGTTATTGACAATTGAAATCAAGAATCAATTGAATGTTAATTAATTTAAATTTTACAATTAATTTCCAGATATCAGTAGATCTACAGCACACTGGCTTTAGAAAAACAAATTGTGGTGTAACAATGAAAATAAAAACACCGTATAAAGCAATCCTTGAAAAAAGCACAGACGGTGTCATTTGGAATGTTTCTGGCGATCTTAAACGGTGCACATGTGAGGGTGCAGGCAATGGAAGCACACTTGCAGAAGAGGTAAGACTAATTATATTAATCATAATCATTTTCTTAACAATTTCAATTTTTCATATTTTTTTCATATATATTATTGGATTGGCAGCCAGACTCGGAAGACGAACAGCAAGCTGAGACTGCAGAGCGAAGTCGTGATGCTGCAAAGTTGAAGGAACTTGAAGCCAGCATTAAGACTGCCGAAACCAAGGCAGCTGAGATGAAAGCTTCTGTGTTATCGTTAGAGCGACGCCTTGAGAAAGCAAAGCAACGGACTCTGGAGGAAGAAGAACGTGCTGAGGATGCACGAGCCCGTCGTGTTGATTTGGAGAAAGAGAAGGAAGCTTCTTTGTTCTCGTTAGAGCGACGCCTTGAGAAAGCCAATCGACTCCTTGAGGAAGCAAAGCAACGGACTCTGGAGGAAAAAGGACGTGCTGAGGATGCACGAGCCCGTCGTGATGCTTTTGAGAAAGAGATCGTGGAAATGGAAAAGTTCTATGAGAATGCCATGGGAGAGGCAGAGTTGGCATTATGGAGTTCCCAGGAAAGCATTAGATATGGAGTTCCCAGTTGTTGGTCGAGACCATTTTAACAAAGAAGCAAAAGAAATGAAAATGAATAAAAGATGATTTTTGACACTTTCAATTACATCGAGAGCTGTTAAAAAGCCATCGAAGAGTGTTATTTATTCAAAGAATTTGTGAAAATAAAATATTTTAAGATGTTGAAATTGAAGTTTCCTTTAATGCGTGTTTAACATGATGTTCAGCGATTTTTCTCAAAACAGAATCTTCCTTCAATAAATTTGAGTTCAATACTTGCTCGTAAGCTTTCAACAACTCAGCATCGGTTTCGATTGGGAACAAATATTCATTGATGTCGTCGAACAAATCTTCTTCCTTACATGTCACAAACTTTAAGTCTGTCGAATGTTCCATCCAGACAAGTTTTCGCCATTTGATGTCGTACTTTTGTGGAAGTGGAACCATCACGAAAATACTAAAGACTTCATCATTAAAACTGTTACTTTGAAAAGCATCGAGGAACATTTTAAAAATACTCTCAAAACTTTTTTCCTTGTTGAGTTTCATGTTGAATCGCTTTGGAAAGTGAAAATGTCTCATTGTCTTCAGCTTCTTCAAGATAAGTTGCTTAACTGGTGGATCTAAAAAGTTTCGATTCTCTCCAAAGTAAATCAACATCAGGTACATGAGCTTTTGATTTGTCGAGATTAATTGAATATTATTTTTCTCAAGCATCAATGTAAATTTTAATGTCGTCACAATAATGTCTTCTTCTGTCAATTCTGTGTGGACAATTATCTTCTCACTTGATTCGACTTCAGCACGATAAAGAAGAATCATAAGAAGCGAATATGGCCATGATTCAGTGAGGATGAGTTGATTCCAATTCTCTGCAACTGCAATCTTCATTTTTATTTTGCTCTGTAAATTAATTTAAGTATAAAATTCAAGAAATCTTTTAATCTTTCATGAAATGATCAACTCACCAAATCACCAACTCTTGACACTACAATTCCATTATAAATGTACTTCCATCGTTCAAACTCTTCTTGCGTGTTATCATGCCCATAATAATATCGACTACTGAACACAAAACATTTGAAGAGCGAAATAATTCTCGCTAAATTTTCTTTTGTGAGGCAGGTAATCAGATTGAAGACCGCGGCCAATAAGCACGAATTGAACTGAACCAACTTTGAATTCAATAAATTATAGATGAAATTAATTTCAGCCTTAAGGAACCAATTTGTGGATAATTTTTTGCTGTATTGCGTTGAGAACTTTTCGAAATATTTTTCAACTTCTTCGTTAAAGAAAGCTCCACAAATTTTGTGATAATAATCATTGTTTTTGACATTGCTTGAATTATTGTAGGCATCGGTGAAGTTAAGTAATGCATCTATGAAGAAGATTGAGTAATCGGGTGTGAAGATGAGAGTTGGCGGTGAATCTTCATATCGTCGAATAATCGAGCCGAGATTTATGAGCGGTTTGTGAATGTTGCATCGATCATGTCCATCTCTGATTAAAGGTGACGTTGTTGTTAAATTTTTCGTTATACGATAGTAATGCTGCGATTGAAGGAACTTCAATAAATGATTATCGACGAAATCAAAGAAGAATCCAGTGGCACGTTCAACAATCGGCTTTCCAATATCCAAGACAGCTGACAAAAGTAATTTTTGAGAGAATTCATTGAGACCATCACGATATGCCATTTGGAACCATTTTGAAATGCATGATTTGAATGTTTCACTGAAGTATGAGAATGTATGGACTAGATCGCCACATTTGAACAGGTACATGAGAGCGCACGCATGTTGACGAACAATGAAATGACTTTCAAGTTGAAAGTTCAGATTCTGATAATGCCATTCCATGAGGAAACGAATCGGCGACACCATTTCTTTGAAGAGATTTTCATCGATGAAGAGATGGAAATAAAGTCGAAGAAATCGAAAACTTTCAATATGAACTTTAAGCATTCCAACATTCAAATTATGCGTCATTAGCACAAGCTTTTTGGCAGTCTCAACAGCTCCAAGTTTCTTCAATTCCTGACACAACACTCGATCATAAGATGAAATCACTCTGAACAATTTAAGCACCAAATGATAAACTTTTGGACTTCCACTTGTCGGCAAAAGTTCTCCGATCATATGTTCCATTAAATTTTTTTTGTTCAGAATTTTCGTTGCGAATTCTTGACTTACTCTACTCAGTCTTATCAGAATTTTGAGACATGAATTTATCGTCACGGTGCTGGGTTGTGTAACTGTTAAAATGTAAGTGATGCGCTCAAGAATATTTGTTCTCATGAAACTCTCAGCAAGATTAACTTCAGCTAAATGTAAATCACTGAGATATTGCTTATCAATGTCCTTTTCATTGTAAACATCATCCACATTGCTTTCGAATAATTTTCTTCCTTCATCTAAGGTCAAATTCTTCAATGACGATTCAAGGTCGATTTCTGTGTCTTCAACTCCTATTCCAGCAATAGATGCTCTTGAATTATCCATAATTGGTTGAACAAATCCATAAGAAGTCTCGTATAAAAGATCTAAAAGAGTTTCATCGGCATCATTGTAAAATAAGTTTGCTAATGCTCGACTTGAAGCTTCGAGAGTTGCTGGCGTGTTTTCATCTAAAGCTAAACGCAGCAAGAAATAAATTCTAGTGATTGGCAGATCAAGAATTCCATCATAATATCCTTGGTTGTAAATATTTATTATTCCGGAAATGGCGTTTAAGGCTGTGACACGTTGTTGAAGGACATTCGCACGGGATAACCTAAATAATTCTTGAAGCGCATAGCCAGGTCGATGTGGATCCTTTTCATGCATGTAAAGTTCGCGGTCATCTTTCTCTTTCCCAGGAGCAATTTCCTCTTTATTTTCTTCAATATATGGTAACAGAAATCCCTTCAAATCAAACCGCGCTTCATATGTTTCACCCGGCTGAAGATTTGGAATTGATTTCCCAATATTTCGAGTCCATTCAAGTTTTTCCGGTTCAATAACATCAAAGTGAAGCCAATTCATTGCATTGGGATTGTGGAGGAAATCTAAGGCTGGAATTTCATCTGCAGATATTGATTTTGGCGGAACTTTGAGTTTACTTGGAGAAGATCTGGCGATACTTTCTTTCGGTTGTTTTCTTGATCTCAGAAACTCAACCATTTTGGGGTCCATGGATCCGATGAGTTTTGAACGTTGAGCGAGAATCTCTTCCTCAGTCATTTTACTGAACTCTTTAATTGTTTCTTCTTGTGAACTTGAGCTCGTTTCATCACTTTCCTTCATTTCTTCATCGTTATTGGAATCGGTATCTGCAGCTTCTTGTGGCACTTTCTTCTGGCTTTTAACCATTTGTGAAAACAGGCTTTTCTTGCCTTTTGTCTTTTTAGGGGAACAAATATCAATTGGTGAAGTGGATGGAAAACCTTTATCTGCAGCAGATGGTCCAGCTTCATCATCAAATTCTTCTGAACTACATCCACTGCTACCTCTTTCTACAACTTCACCTACTACATCTACAGTTTTCAGCTTTTTATCACCTTCGGATTGTTTTAAGTTCCGACGTTTTGCAAATACTGATTGTTTCGAAGTGGGCTCTATAAATGTCTTGATAAAAGACATGCTTTTCAGATTTTTGCAACTTAAACTTACCTTCTGATGAAGAACCTTCGGGACGAATGGCTTGAGCTGCTGGCTGAAAGTTCTCTTCGGTTTTTTGTTTCAAATATTTATTCTGCATTTCAAGCACATCATCCATCGTATCAGTTTTTTTCGGACGAGGAATCATTCTGATGTTCTTATAAATTAGTTAAAATTGTGTTTAAAAAATGTGCGAATTTCAAGGTCAATAAAATGGGTATGAAAGTCAATTAAAAAATGCATCAAAGGGTAGGAAAAATGCATTTAGCAAAGCGGCTCAAAATCAAGTGAAACATTCTTTCCCCTGTTGCGAAATGTAAACAAAACTTGAGTTGAAGAATTAGATAGAAAATCTTTAGCTTTAGTGAGAATCTTTTACATTTAACTTGAAAAAATAACAAGTCATTGAATTAGTTTTATAATTTGATTTTTTTTTATTGTTCTCTGATCCAATCAATGAATTTTACAATTTTCGTGTACACGCCGGGTGTCTCAGTAAAACATTTTACTCCATAAGATGAGAGACCAGTGAGTACAAATTTATTTGGTACACCAACGATTGGACAAATTACTGGTGCTCCTGCATCGCCAATACATAAATCAAATTCATTACCGCCAGCACAGAAAAAGCTTTCCGGAAGAGTGAATTTTTGATCATTGAAAGCAATGCCAAGTTGTTTCTCACAAGTCTTATGATCAACTTGATCCATTCGAATTTTCTTCAAATACTGGCTAAGCTCATTTTGAGTTGCATAGGTTTCAGCTCCCCAACCTGTTGCGAAACAGCCATCAGGGGATACTTTTAAGTTTCCAGTATCCAAACAGACTTCATGAATATACTGATTAAATTTGAACGGTTGACTTACACGAACAATAGCAATATCATTGTCAATAGGGTCTGGTGAAGTGTTTTTAGGATGTGGCTTAAGATCAGAAGCTACCCGTTGTTGCATCTGATAATCTTCTACACTTGTCCGATTTAAATCCCAAAGACCAGCTCTAATGATAAGATCTGATGGATTTGTAATTCTAAAAAAAAATAAAAGAAATTAAGAATGTATGATGTGTTAAATTTCCTACTTCGTCAAACAAAAAGCTGTTGTGATGATAGTAGAGTCATCAATAATTGCACCAGCACAATGTGGATTTGGCGAATCTTTTTTATAAAGTGCAACTGTCCATGGAAATTCTCCGAAACCAGCTTTGTTCTTTTGTGAACTCGGAATCAATCCCCCTTCGTTGATGACACTTCCATCACAATCCTTTGATGCAGTTACAAAGGAATTTGATAAAACGATTGCTGCAACTAATTTGAACCACATTTTAATTGTTAACTGAATGTTCCTTTATGTCGTATTCCTTTCGAGAGACTGCCAGAAATTAAATTTTGCGATTATTTATATTTTCGTTGTCAGCTTCAAAATAACGGTTTAATGTTTACTCTCTCAAGAATCATTCATTTATTACGGTTCTGAGTCCAAAATGAAATTGAAAACTTATGTAAATTTATCATCTGATTTCAGGGTTTGAAGTTTAAAGTAAACAGAAATATTGTCAAATTTATAACACGCATTTAACGAATTGTGTTGAAATCTACGTCTCTGTTGTTAAAAAAAAAGTTTATTCACCTTTTAGCGAATTAAAAGAGAAAAGAAAGTCAACAGTTCTTATAAATATTTGGTAATGCTTTTGATTTATTTATTTACAGAATTCTTTCTCCAAAAGGCATTTCTACATAAAAATCATTTCATAAAAATCTCAAATGTCCAAAAATTTATTTAAAATAGAATCTCAAATTTGGTTGTGAATATATTTAATTTCAATAAATTAATTTTCATGAATCATCAACTGTCGTCAATGCATTTATTGAGTTTTCGTTTGTTTTCATTAATTTATAAAGAGTTTTTGCAGGAATTTTACAAATGCATTTACATTCTTGATTTTTGTTTCCTGATGTTAGCGTATTTAAGAGAGCTTTGAGATATTTTATTGTTTCTTTGGAGTTCTCAATATCTCGAGCCATATTAGAAATTTTATTGTTTAATTGAAGATAATCTTCATCTTGGTTGCTATTTTCATGACAAATTTTAACCATTTCTTCCAAAACTCTCCTTCTTTCTGTTATATTTTCCATTGACCAGTCATCAAACATTTTCACAGAAGCAAACTGAATTTTGAGATCACTTCGGGTAACGTCGATTTCTTTAGTTATTTCAAACATTTTATGTCGAAGACAATCATTTTCGGATCCCAATTGATTCAATTTCAAGGCAAATTTATCACGTTTTTTAGTCATTTCAAAAAATTTATCTTCGCGAAAAGTTTTATTTGATTTATTGTGTTTGACAATATGTTTGACTTCGCACAGAACTTTATGACAGTCACGTTTTTCTGTTTTTAACTTCATATCAAGCACATTGCATTCATCACAACATCCGTCAAGTTCTTGTCTTATAATTTCATACATCTGTTGATATTTATAAAGTCTTTTCCATTCATTTAAGAATTCATTACGCATCAATGAGATTTTTTGATTTAATTGATTTTCAACTTTTATGTTTTCAGCTTCTATTTTTTTCTGTGCTGCATTTTGAAGTGTGAAAATATTCTCAATTTGATTTAAATCAGTTTTCGATTTGCAATACTGGTCATAAATGTTTTTTGATATTTCTGTAACAAGCTGTAGTTTATTTCCCAGTTCTTTTATGTATTCTCTTAAAACTTCTGTCAATTTCTCTGAATGTTTTTCACAGACTTCATCGTTCGTTTGTGCGTCATTTTTTGCTTTAATTTCTGACATTTCTTTGCAATTTAGTAAAAGAATTAAATAAAATCAAATTTTGAGATAGAAAAATAAAAAGCATTCACTGAAATTTGGATCGCTTTTAGCTTCTAAGCTAAAGGCTCCTTTTTAATAAAAAGGCATCTTAGATAAGATAAAAAAAGCAGAAAATCTAAATATTGAGAAAATATTTAACGACAATTTGAAATTTAAAATTCAAGTTTGATTCGATGAAAAAAATTTTGAGATAAAGTAAGGGAACTAGTTACATTTGTTTTCTTAAGTAGAAACTAATATTTTCTATTCTTGCATATTTAAACAATGGAAGACGCTCCATTAAACAATGTAAGTTGACATTATCATCAAAATATATAATGACTTCAAAACAATATTATTGCAGGCGCATTTTTACGCTCGTAAGGCTGAAAGTTTATTGAAATTAAACAGTGCTGAAAAATTTAATAGCATCAATTATTTAGAGAAGTGCATCGAATGCCTTGATCATGCTTTAAGCCAAACGCAATCACCAAAAGCTATAGAATCATTAAAACTTCAAAAAAATCACCATATTAAACAACGAGACTTGATTCTGCATCACTATGAAAAGTACAAGAAAAATGAACAAAAACTGGAAACAACAAATGTTCCATTTAATGAACGAGTTATAAATTCTAACAAAATTCAACTTGACCTGTTTGAAAATATTGACAACACCGATACGTTGCTAGAAGAACTTCAAAAGATACATCCAGATCTACAACCAGCTATAGAACTTCAGCAAGTAAATTCACAACTTAACGTCTTGCTCTATCAATTGATAACACAATTCGATGAAACCATTCAAGAAAATGATATATTAAAGGAAAAAATTAAAGCACTTGAGACTGAAAAGAGAACGAAAGTGGAGAAGAAAACTGACTGCAGCCTAGATGAAAGACATGACGAGTTGAGACTTTCACCAGATGCCATTGAGGCTCATGAAGAATTCGCTCCTTTGGATCTCCCAGAATTTGATCTGGGAACTCTTGATGTTCCCAAATTATAAATTATCATATGTTTTAAGATTCAATTTTAATATTTTTAATTAAATAGATTTTTTCTTTACTGTATCACACATAGAAGAATTATGAAACTTATTACTCTTGATTTTCGATTCATTCCAGTTATTTTTGTTTCTAATCTTAGTGAATTCGTTCAGTTCTTCCTTCAAGTATCCAATGCCATTTTTATTTTTATACTCGAAAGGTTTTTTCTTTGTTTTTCTATCCCATTGATTGACTTCTTCCTCCAAATTCTTTAAATTTGAAGCTGCAAGTTCGATTTTTTTAGTGTCACTCAATTCCTCTTCCTCGATGATTCTCCTTTTTATGGGAATTTTCTTTCGGTCTACATTGATGTCATCAGGTTCTTCAAGATATTTTACAGGCTCAGTGCATCCACTTAAAAGTCTCACATTATCAATAATTTCCGAGTCGTTGTTTTGATTTTTCTTCATTTTAACTTCGATCAGTTCAATTCGGTTTTCAATTAACTTTGAAAGCTTATCACCAATAAATTTCTGCATTGATGATGACACATTAATTTCACTGTGAAAAACATTTTCTTCAATATCGAGATGTCTTTGAGATTTTAAGTTCTTTTCAGATTCGTTTTCTTTTGAAACTTTTTCTTGGGGTTCACTTCCGTAAAGTTTGTTACTAAAAACGGTTGAATCTAAAGATTCTGCAAATTTTTTTAATTCTTCATTATCAGATTCTGAGCTCGACATTTTATTATCTTTTGTAAGTTTATTACCGCTCTTTTGAGTATATTATCGAAAGAAATGCTTGAATCAGCTGATTGTATGTTGTTAAAAGGAAATTTATGAACCGGCTAAATAAATGCATTGCATGCGAAACACATGTTAATTCACATGCGGAACGTTGTAACGTCTCACAAATAGCTTGCAGCGTAATGCGCTTACTTCGCATCTGTTCACGACGATATTTTAGGCATTTCTTGTGTTTCAGCATGTTCAAAAAAATATTTTATTGATATTTTCTATAACAAACATGCAACTGAGCAGTTAAAAAAAAATTTAATCGTGAAGGAAGCATTCTTATTAAAAAAGTTATTTGCGTAATTCAAAATTAATTTATTCATTAATCATATTATGAGTATACAAGTTCAGTTAGTTAAAGATTCTTCACGTATTGCATTCAGCTTAAATTTGTTAAATTTTTCTTTCAAATCTTTATATGGCTCCGACATATGTGCAATATCCTGATCTTCAGAATCGCTGTCGATTTCTACGTCACTTTCTTCCATAGTTTGAAAATCTTCATATTTGGGAAAGCATGCACACTTCGTCATTGTGTTGGTTTTTGTAAATGCAGATTTATATTTTTTACACTCAATGCAGTTGTTAGCACAAATTTCGGAAGTGCAACTTCCAAAAGTCACTTGTGGTTGAACAACAAGAGTGGCTTCATTGTCATTGATTGTGAAGCAAGCGATCTGGTTATCTTTTTGATGACTGAAGTTCCGATAACGTGACCCATATGTATGTTTTGATCCATTTGCACAATACCAATGCTCCATATCAGATCCGATAATAATTGAGACTGATCTATAGATAGTTCCATCAATCATGAAAGCATCTGAATTTCCTGATTCTATGCGCCAGTGATTAATCTTCAAAAATCTTTCTGGTTCATCTCTAACTTCTCTCATCAACATTGAACTGTACCATTTGTAATGATGATAAGATTCTCGTCCCATTTTATCTTTATTCTTTCTTTTCTGTTCACGATGAATGCGTAAATCATTTACATTAGCCGTACATGCGCTGTCCATTTTAACTGACGGTGAATTAGCAGACCGTCTTGAATTGTATGTCAGAAATGCTACATCAATTGAAATGATTTTACTCTGAACCATTTTTGCTACAAAAAAAAATATTTATTTGTTCTCCTTGATGATCTTTGCTATTTGAAGTTTGGAAAGAAACTGAAGACATTTAAAGAATATTCTTTATACAACCTAACTTCACATAAATTTGTTTGTTTTTACTACGTAAAAGGATAAAAGCATTTAAATGTTTGTCAACTACCTGCACTAAGTTTTCAATTCTTCTTTCGCAATCTCTTTTCATTTTACAATTACCGGGATCAACAGATTGTTGATAAAAAAGAAATTTTTCTATCTTCTTTCTCAAGGATTTTCTTTTCAAGATTTTTATCACCTAATTTGCATTAGGTAGCAGCAACAATTTCTTACTCATATCCTTATAGAATCATTTTATATTGCACATCTAATTTGAGTATTTCCTCAAAATATTATTCATGACCTCGGCAACTGTTGGACGATAACAAAGGAAAAGTTATTTGCATATTTTATGTCACTTTCTTCCAAGAGTGAAACATAAAAATGACGAAGAAAAGATGTTCGGTAGAAAATCACTTTAGATAAAACTAACAAGCAAAAAAAATTCAATTTATGCTTTAAATGTAAGCATGAATCCTTTCTCAAGAATCCTTTTGTTTTCAAAGATTTTCTGGCCGAAGAGAAGTCTTTTCTGCTTATCCCTTTTCTAATTAAGAAATAAAAACATACATAAATTGAAGTTTAAGCAAATATTTCTTTGGGTATGCATCAGGTAACTAAAGATTTGTATTTTTAAAAAGATTGTTCACTGTTTTATTTTATTTTTTGTTTTTTAAAAATTTAATTTGTCATCATTTCGTTTACAAATAAAGCAAAATCGTTCTGACCTTATGTATTTATGCATAGATGTGTACATAATTATTATTTGCTACCTTATCATTGAAAGAGTTCAAAAATAAATAAATAAACTTGAATCATCTAATTTCATTGAGTTAACATGAATAATTTCTAAATAATTTTCAATCTAAATCTTTAAGTGATAAGACGAAAAATGGAAGAATGCAAAAGTGACAATATGATCGCAGGTGCCAATTCTGGTATTGGATTTGCACTAGGTAGTGCAGAAGTTTGCAATTGCTGGAATAACTACAATTTCGATATTCAAATAAACAAGGTTTGTGATTGTGTATTCAAATTTGTGATGTATCAAAGAATAATGAAACGAAAAAACCTTAGTTTGGGTTGAAAAAGAAATTGATGATATTCTCGTGAATAATGTTGGAACGATTATGACTTTAGACATATTAGAGCATGAGAAATCAATGCCAGATCTTTCGTATAATGTTGACTTTAACTTCACATCAGTTGTTATTTGTGTTCGATAATCTTTCAAATCAATGCAAGCACGGGGCACATATGGTTACATTAATATCAATTCGGTATGTGGTCATTGCATTTCAGACAGTAATATCGAAGGCTTGCAAATAAGGAGTTCATCCTGGCAATAAATATTTTGAAAGCATCTGAAATTCCGAAGGAAATGATAGAAAAGTTTTTATTTATGCCACACTTGCAGCCCAAACACTTTCGGTCAAACGGTCGCTTATCTCCTTTTTGTTCCTTATCACGTTTCGATTCATGAAGTCATTTTACGTGCTACCAGCGCTGGTATTTAATAGAAAAACATCACAAAATGTTCATTATAATAATTGAATTTTATTTCATGAAGCACAAATGTTCAAGATGTGCAAGGAAATCATTTCTAATAAAGAACGAACTAAATATTTGAAGCGCCTGAGACTTGTTTTTATTTCCAAACATCGCCATATTTATTCTGGACTCCACTTTGTCGATTGACTTCATCTCTTTCTTGAGGTTGAGATGCTCTTTGCACTGTTGGGCTTTCATTGCGATTTACTTGTCTGAAAGTTTAAGAAAGGAAAAATTTAAAATGAAAAATATTTGACAAAGTTGATTTCACCTGTTGAAAGGCTGATTTAATCTTCTTTCATGATCTTCTCTATTCTTCCTGCGCAGTTCTTCATAAGTAACTGACGACTTCGGCGGCTCTAATGGCAAATTATCATCAAAATTTCTATCTGGAGTATCAATTGATGGACGATAAGTATCATCAAGACCAAAGTTTGCCGGACGATCGACATCAAGATCGAGAGAATTTTGTTGATTATGTTTTAAATTCTCATCAGTGTATACATCTGTTGATGATGAAAATGGAGCAAGCGAGAGACCACCTTCTTGCGTAAAGGTTTCAAAGAATTCGCCTTTTCTACGACGACGAAGAGCTTCTGCTAGTTTACTGTTCGGCAGTCGCATCACTTTTTCGGCACACTTCTGCTGATAAGAAACTTTGCCTACAAAATATCCAACAACAACTGCTGCGAGAACTTTTGGTCCACTTCCAAATTTAACAGATGGAGCGAGAAATCCTCTTTGAATGGCAGCCCAAGTTGCAACACCGAAAGTGGTCCCAATAGGAATTGATCGCTGAACTAATGCTTCAATATCGCACTCTTTTAAAACCTGTAGTTCTTCTTTTGAAAACTGGAATCCCATCTTAAAGAGAAATTAGGAATATTAGTTATGAAATCAGAAACAAAATCATGCAATTCAATTACAGCTCCTGAACTTGGCGAATTCTCATTAACATTTCCTTGAGGTGGGATGACGACAGGACCTTGTTGGTTACCATATCGATCATTTGAATTGAAAGGATTATTCATATTTCAATAACTTTTTCACGATATTAATCGTACGAAAAAAGAAATTTTGTTTTCAACTTCACGAAAATATTTTTACCAAAACATCTTTTAAAGCGAGTTTATGCTGTTAAGTTTTATTTTAGAATGAAAAATGTGATTAATTCAGTCTTCAGTTTTCGTCTTATTTCATTAATTGCATTAAAAGTTCTATGAAGTTAATGATAGTAAAGGCTTAATTGAGAGGCATTAAATTAATTGTTCTCGAGTTATTTAATAAAGTTGAGCACATTTGGCTCGTTACAAAAATTTTAAACTTTTCCTCCCATAAATCAGTAAGTAGACTACTTCGCCCTCTACGTTTGAAAACATTAACTAAAATTTTCTTGTCAAAAAGTTTTTTCATCCTAAAAATTATTAATAACTGGAAATTCACATTACTGAATAGTGATAAGCTCTCTAACTCATATAAAAGTTAAAGTTTAGTGAGAAATAATAATTGTGAATAATATAGGCGAAGCCAAAAGTGCGTATTTCTATAAATATTATCATTGATATCGAAAAGTGTAAGAGCGTCATCCATATTGAAAAGTATTTCTTGATTAAACCTAATCACATACCTACTATTCAACACTGCATTTTCATTCTTTAAAGCAGTTTAATAAGATTAACTGCTGTTTGAAAATATTTCGAATATTTAAGTTTAATTAAATAAGAAAACTATTAACCTCAAAGAATGGATAGAGGAGGCTATCGGGGACGGGGAAGTTTTGGAATGAATGGACGCGGCCGGTAAGTCCAATAAATTAATTATAGAATTTTGAAAAATATTATTTAAATATTATTTCAACAGTGGCAGAGGAATGATGAGGCCTGGAGGTTTTGGGAATGGACCAATGAATGGTGGTGAATACAGAAACAAAGACTTTGAGTCTTCATATAATAAAGCAAATCTTTGTTTTAGGTATGATGAGAGGTAGAGGCAGAGGAGGACCAGATCTGAGACGAGGACCACCAAGAATGGGAATGAATCCAGGAATGAACAGGGGATCAGGTCGTGGACGTTTCCCTTCTGGTCCCAGATATTCCTCAGAAGGTAATGGTTATTATCAAAATCAAACACAAGCGGAAAACCCTCCAGCAGCTCCCGTACAACAACCTGAAGCAGTAACTACTGAAAAGCCAATAACTCCAGTAACTCAAAGTACCAACAATGTGCAAGTTGTCACCACAGGACAAACTCCAACAACGCCTGCACCACAACAACCTCAAGCTGCTCCTGTTCAAACCAACCCAACCATAAACAGCTCTAGGGGAACATACACACCCAGAGGAAGAGGAAGTTTCGGATCTCGTGGTGGTTTCATGGGTCGAGGACGAGGCGGTTATCAAGGGCAAGGCGGTCCACCAAGACAGCAATTCGACACACGACAGCCATCAAATTTAACGCCGGCATCAACAAATACTGGCTATAATCCAATTAAAAGAGGTGGCTACCAAGGCCCTCCTGGCGCAAAACGAGGGCGATACGATCAAGGTCCTGGTGGTTATGCCGGAAGTCGAAGTATGGCTCCCCAAAATCAGATCTCGTCAATGCCACCGCAGCAACATCATCAAAGCTCTTACAACAATGTTCCACCGTAAATAGCATCGAAGTGACATTAAATTTCTTTAAAGTAGTAATTTTTATTTCTGATTACAGTCATGGCGGTTCATATCAAGATCATTCATCCCAATACGTTGATCAATATCAAAACAGTGGTTATAACAGCATGCCACAACAAAGTGGCTACACGAGCAATGGTTACGGTCAGTCCTATGGACACAGTGCAGCTCCAGTCACCTACGACACGCAAACAAGTTATGATCATACTGCAAATAGTGGATACACGGACTATAAGTGAGTGAAATATTTTCATAAATTATCTTTAATGGTTACTAAATGTCTTTATAGTGCAACATCTTATCAAACACATGATACAAGATATGCTGGTTACACGCAAGATTATCGACAGCCTTACGGTTCGTCTGCTGATTATGGGCAAGTTGCACAAGATTCGACGTCTTATTCAACTGGAGCTTATGATCGTGGATCGTATGGAAATTATGGTGAGTTGAAATAAGAATGAAATAAGATTTAATGTCAACGAAAATGTTTCTCTCCATCAGACTCATACTCGCAAGGATATAATGGTCAGTCAGGCTATTATTAAATAGCTGAATTAATGTGTGAGTGTCACTTAATAATCTTATTAATCTTAATTGTCCCATAATAAAACTCTTAAGCAACAAAAATTATTAATAATACTTAGTTAAGTGTGGACATAAATAAATAATAAAAATATGAAACTCTTCAAGTTTTAGATACATTTAATGAAAATAAAAGCATAAGTTGATATGAATGAATTAAGAGAATTACAAATTAAAGTAGATTTTAGAAATTTGATTTAGAAATGAGATTCTCAAGATAAAGAAAGATTTAAAAATTAGAAACATTCATATTTGACAAGACGATCTAAACTTTTTTTTCATTTTTCTTTTTAAAAAATGTTTTTAATTATGCAAAAGAATGATTCGATATCAAGCTACTTAGTAGAATGATGATTTTCCTACACAAGAATTATATATAAATATAAAAAAAGAACTCCACAAACTTCTTGAAAGCTTGACAAACATTTCATCATTGAAATAAACAAGAAACTCGTTGAATGATCATTTGTTCAATGATGTGAACACAAATTTAATTTATATAGAAGAAGATATGACAAAATATTTCAGACTTTTATTTTAGACAAAACATTTCAATTACTTTGACTGTCTGTAATGGTCGTTAAGAGAAAAAAAACACATAAAAAAATTTTAATTGCATGACCTTAGCAAGGATCAAGATTAACATTTTGAGAGAATCGCTTTAAAACTCATAAGCAAATTTATTTTATATAATTATGTAGTTAGAATGTGGTTTGCGCCACAACATAAAAATGATTTGATTATGCAGCTTCTTTCAAAGCTTTCTTTTATTCCTCTTTCAAACATTAAATTAACTACAATAAAAGCTAAATAAATGTGAAGATTAATGTAAAATTCAAAGAACTTTCCAATAAAAATATTTAGTAGATTTCAAAAGTTTAGTTAACTTAAGATAATTAATGCATGATCAATCAAGGAAGAAAGAAAAGACGATACTAAGATAGAATTCTTTTTGATTGAAAGAAAATTCACTGGAAGAAACTTTGAAGCTTATGGAAAGTGAATTGTTGAAATCTGAAATCAACAGTTGATCAGCAGAGTGTCTAAGCTCAATAATGATTACATGTGCAACTTATAATCTAATTAATAATTTATAGTTTCAGCCAATCAATCAATAAATCAATCTCATTTCAGAAACCAAATGAAATGGATAGCAACAAATTTATTGGGAAGCCTTTTTTGGTTTTTAAAAGTCAAAGAAAATTATTTTAACAAAACAAACATTTATTTGGAATATAAAAATGAACGTGACAAAGAATAAGAAGAATAATTGTTGATTATAATTTAATTTCTTTTGTTTTATTCACACTTTTTTTAATACTCTTATAAATTTAATATTTTTATGGAATACTCAAAATCATGTAGGTGGGAAAATTATAACTTGGGAAGAATGGAATGGGTTAAAAAACACCATCAATTGTGTAAAAGTGAAGAAAAAGAAAAGCAAGATGATCAAACAACGATCATAACTTGCTGATAAACTACAAAGAGAGAAGATGATGATGAAGAAGAAGAAAAAAGTATATAATTAAATAAAAGAGTAAATGACAATATCCATCAAGACATCTAAGTAAAGTCTTGAAATCATACTCAAAAAAAAGAACCGAAGAGAAAAATAAATTAGTAGTTTAAAAAGTCAACAAAGAATCAATTATCGAAGCAAAAAAAATACAAAAATATGAAATCACTTCATTTAAGAAATTGCGAGTTAATAAATTGAAAGGAAAACATCAAAGGAACGTTATCAAAAAATATGATAAGAAAAAAAATGTTGAGGTAACCATTACACAATGAATGATATGATAAAAGTTCATAGACACTAACTAGTAAGTAAAACGAGTCTTAAACATTTATTTTAGTTTATAAATTTATAATTTTATTAGACACATTCATATGTATCTAGTTTTTTATTAAATCAAATTACAATCATCAATTTTATCAAATATTAAATATGATCAACACCGACCGTGGTGATGTTGCTATTAAAAAAGATATTATAGAAAATAATTCATGAAGTTCACCAAGCAAAGGTGTTGTCCGCATGCAGTTATTTTTAGAATCCATGAAACATTTACTTAAAAATGAAGAAAACAAATATAAGCAAGTGAGAAAATTTTGAATGATAAAGTCAAATTTATTCAGCAGTTGAATTTTATTTATCAACGGAAAATTCCATTCTCAAGAAATTTTTAAAGAGAGAGGAAAACTTCTGAAAAGATAAATTTTTACACACAGAGGTAGAAGCGTGACATAACAATGATCAAAATAACACATCGAGGCAAGTTTTATGTCTTGCGAAAAGCGATGATGAACAATCTGAAGAGAAGAAAAAGAAGATCACATAAAGAATTGAATTGTCGGCTTAAAGCAATGACAATCTTAACGCATAGAATGAGAATTGGTTCAACAAACTTAGCACATGCCAAACCTAAAATAAACTCAGAGAAATGAAAAATTTAATATTAAACGAATATTACAAAATTGCCTAAATAGAAATCAACATTAAATATTGTTTCAATCAAGAAAACAGAAAACAAAAACCTAACAAAACAATATCGATGATAATATGGGCATAAAAGTCATTTATCTCTTCTGATAAAAACTGACATGAGCTTTCAAAGCTATCACTCATTTGATAGTCTAGGGAAAGAGCCAAGAAACAAAGAAAATGAAAGAAGAAAATATTTTTTATTGATTTCTGAATATTTTTCCGTAATTTTAAATTTTCTTAAAAAAAAATCTTTTCATGTAACGTTACTAACTTTATTTCTTTTCTTTTAATCAGCATTTCCCGGCGTAGGTGGAAACAATGATGAGATAACAACAGAATCGTGCCTATCTGTGATAGATACTTATGTAAACTGTGATAGAAGAAACTTTCGTACAACAAGACTGAGATTTATATAAAAACATTATAAAGTTCTCTTTTCATTTAATAATCCTGACATTCTGATCTCGTACATTGAGATTATTTTATGTTTAATCTCGATTGAACGACTGAAAAGAAAAACTCAAAAGACTTTTAACATATAATAAAGACGATACCTTTAAAAATATTCTGCAGACTTTTTCTTTTTCATTTATTCTTTCAGGTTTCTTTCTTAGTATTCATTCATTCGCTCACACACACGATGATTCACACATTTTTATATTGAATCAACTACATTGATGATCCTCAACTAATAAATATGTATTCGTTTACCCTCATTACCGTTCGCTTTCAATTCCTTTTCCTCTTCTTGCGTAATTTCTGTGCCTGCAAAAAATATATAAAAAACTAGCATCTTGCGTCTGACTTCCTGTAAATGATCCCGCCAAAACACACGTGTTGGAACGAGTGAAAAAGATATTAATGACAAGCTGCATGAAGACAAAATTAAGTTTTTAAGTTTTGAGATTACAAGTCCTTCATTTATTGTTTATTTCATTTCTTTCTTTCATTTTTTTTTTCTTATAAAGGTTGGAAAAAGGAGAAAATTTCTTGTGTAAAAAAATCCATTTTCTTGGCTTTATTTAGATAATTAAGATTTGAATTTACATTCGGTGATTTTGGCTGAATTTCTTTTGATTTGATTTTTCTTTTGTCTAATCTGCATCGTGTTTATTATAATAATTATTGGAAAAATGAGAAAAAAATTGAATTGCTATCATGTGCAAGTCGCTTTTGATGCTTCGAGAATTGTAAGGATATTGATATTAATATTATTATTATTTTTCTTTGCCGAGGAATGTTTTCACAACTAGACTTAAGTAAAATGTGTAGTTTCTTTCGTTTCCAATTGAAAATAATTTTTGTTCATTAAAGTTAAGAGAGAATTGTTAAAGAGGTGAAAATGACATTTTTTTTTTGATATTTTCTTTTTGTTTTCAATCATTTTTAAAGTGATTTTAAGTCCCTCTGAAAAATCATGAAAACATGTTGAGTTCTTTCTCTTTTCCTAAATTTTCCTTAAACCGAACATGTTTCGTAAAATTAACTTGCTATAGTATCCTGCATTGAAACGTTTTCATTGAACATCTTTCGTATCGTTTAATTGTTTCTTTTTGTCAACACTTAAGAAGAAAACATTTTACTTCATAAATAAAAAAAATACTAACTTATGCTTTAACTTTTAAGTAAATTTACTGATGCGTTTGAAGATGTTTATCGTGTTTTTACCATTTTGCTTGTTTTAATACAGCTTTTCTTCTGCTTTCTTTCTTTTTTTTTTGTTGGGTTTTTTAAATTTTTTTTATTTCGCTGTGTAGACCGGTGGTTGGCGAGACTTGCTTAAGCTGTTGCTTCCTCTTCTGTAGGCTTGACTGCCTCAACTTCATCTGTTTTGGCACGCTTTTCGGGCACCTCTGTGTCATCTTCGACTTCGACAACTTTTCGTTTTACTGATTCTTCTGCAATAAAGGAGATTAAATTGGAGAAATGCTTATAAGTTAAAAGGCAATTAAAAGGAGATTAATAATATTAAACTTACCAGTTTCCTCAACTGGTTCAGCAGCTTTAGCCTCACCATTGCCATTTTCAGTAACTTCAGCATCACCTGATGATTCGACAGCAGCAACTTCTTCCTTTTCTGTTGTAGTTGGTGCAGCATCTTCGGCAGGAACTGTTTCATTGTCTTCGCCAGATGCAACTACTGGTGTATCCTCAACATCTTCAACGACCTTTTCAGTCACTTTGCTGTCAACGACTGGAGTTTCTCTGTGCATTCAAATTAAAAATAAGAAAAAAACGATATACGGGTTAATACACTCCAATATTTATGAGCCTGAATTAAAGCAAAAAAACAAGCCCGGAGAATTTTTCTTTCCATTCGCGAGAATTTAAAATAGAAATGAATCAACGAGAAACAATTTGAAAATGTTAACAAAACTATTACCGAAAAGGTGAATATATACAGAGCATTTTCATAGTAACTGTAATCGTTCTTGGTTGAGAAGTCGACAGTGAAATAAAATTATATGAAAAAAATAAAATAAAGAAGAGCACACAAAAGCACCTTTTGCGTCCATATAGCAACCACCAAGAAGGTAAAAGTTACTTGAGAGAGAACCATTTTCACATTTGGTGTATTTTTCAACTTTTTGAATAAGCGCCTCACCGAACGACTAAAGAAAAGAATTGAAAATTGTGTGTATTCCACATTATTTCAAAAAGAGATGAAATACCGATTGCATCAGTTTAGCGAGACTCTACTGAGGTTAGCATTTAGGTACATTTGATGAAGAGATGGTGAAAAAAAAGAGACATGTGTATGTATAGAACACTGTAAGTATATAAAGAACACCGAGAAAAAAATGACGCTACCTCAATACCGCCAAAATTAACGACCGATTTTATGTTAATTATGCTACTTTATCCAGCGGTCTCTATTTTGATTCAATTAAAATATGTTCAATTACAATTTCATCATATTTTGCAATCGATTGCTAGAAGGTTATTCCGATATTTAACGAGTTCATTGGAAAATGCGTCAGCCATTAACGAAAAAAATTTTTTTGTTTCCGTTTTTCACTTAAACTACATGATTATTCAACAAAACTTTTGCTGAACTTTATACTCACTTAGTTTCTGTTGCGATTGGATCCATTTTTTATATGTTTTTAGTTAATTAAATTGTTTTAAACGCTTTTAATTTTTTTATATTCTCGAAGCACGATGCTGACTTGACGAGGTTTAGATTCACAATGAGAGAAATGTTTGCGAAGTGTATTGGAACATCCGAAAAGCATTGGACAAATGTTTGTCCAATGCTTTTATACACTCTCCACCTGAAATTGCGTTTCTCCAAGGTCTAGTTTCAGGTGGAGAGTGTATAATTTCTCGGACGTAGAAAATGTGCGTCCCAGTGAAACTTTTTCTGAGCACTTTGTATGGGAAACCTCGGTCCGCGCGAATGTACCAAAGTCGGGAATCAACATTAAGAACTTGAACCTGCAAAGACTTTGATAGTGTTGATTTTGGTCAAAATCAAATGCTATAAAACTGTTTAGATAGAAATATTTTGTGAATAAAAAATATTGTGAATTTTAATGAAAATTATAATAAAATGTTAATGTAGCTAAAGTTAAACTGCATTACAAAGTTGGCAAATCACAGAGATTCCCAAACTGTCACACCAGTGATACTCAAACCTTTCAACAGATTCATATAAAAAGCGCTTTTTCTTGACACTTTTCGAACTTGTTCGTAGATTTATCCAACTAAAAAAAACTTTTCGCAAATGTGATAAAATTCAACAACAAAACAAAACTAAGTTTGACACTGTAAGGTCATTTATAAGTTCATAATTTTCATACTTTTTTTTTCATTTCAATGAAGACCTTTATAACTAAAAAAGGAGCTTTAAAGCTTCTAAAGAGCTAACGAATTTATTTACTGTAAATCATAAAGTTCATATGAAATTTCTGTTTACAAAATTTTTAAGTACCTACCTGTTTACGAAGCTGAAGCTTGTGATAAATATCAATCATTATATTTACTCATTCACACTTATTCTATATAAGTTCATAAAAGATTTTACAACCTGTTGTGTAGAAAATATCAAACAATTCAGAAAGCAATTAGGTACAAAAGCGATATTAACTTAGAGAGAAATATTTGAATGATAAGATTGTGTCCAAGAAGTTAGGGGAAGTAAATTAAAACATTTTTGTTTATTTATTTATATCATATTATATTATACATAAAAGCTTTTTGTTTTCATCATTAATTTACATTATAGTTTGTTTTCTCTCATTTTTAATTATTTAAAGTTTTTTCTTTTCAAAAGTATGTTCAAAATATTGGTTTTCATTATTTTTGAATCGACTTTAATCATCAGAACAAATATTTTGAAAAATAATGTTTCATTTTTTTAAAGGGAAACAGATGATGGATAGAAAATTTGAATTTCTAACTTGGAAAGGATGGGTCAAAACACGAGAAGCTATCAATATTACGGTAATTTTCATACACCCACTTACAGTTTGCTCATCAGACCCATCTCCATCTTACATCAATATGCATATCTTCTTCTTTTTAAGATATATAAAAAAAGAGCAAAAAATAATGACAACACAATAAAACAGTCTAAGTAATATAATTTGCATTCGTTGAGCAATCTCTTAGAAAATAAATTTTCTTCGACATTACTGAACGAGCATGCATTTTTCTTCTCTTAAATGAAAATGAAAGGATTTTTTTCTTTCTGTTCTTCTTTTACGTTATTGCTTATTCAGTTAATATTATTTTTTTTTATTTAAACCTCATTTTTTTTAGAAAAATGCAGTCGAGTGCAATAGCAACATCTTTTATAGTCTACAACGATGGAAGGGGAATTGGGCCGGGAAAGGGATTTGGAAAATTGAAAAGCAGTGAATGTTCAGCGTTCTTATCAACATTATTCCGAAATGGCAAACAAAAAGAAATTTTAAAGTCCATCAGGGCATCCAGGGTTGCTGGATTATCGCGTAAAATCCAAGCGCACGTTGAAAACTTACAGAAAAACACGTACGAATAAACGATGAACTGAATCTAATTGTCACGACATTTGCCTGTAATGTTTTGTTGTGTTGCTTTTTTTCTTTCTCTCTCATATTCAATATTAATAATATTAAAAAGTATGAAATAATAAGATAAGATGTTTGTAGACTAAACTGATACAAGTTATAATTTTTTTTGTTTTCATTCAACTAACCTTCGAGAAGAGAATTTCTTTTACGATGTGTTGTTTCTTGTATCAAGTTTTGCATGATTCTTCTCATACCTATATCTATTTTACATATTTGTTTTACTTAATAATCTATTTATACTCCAAAAACTTTCTTTCATTTCTTTTTTTTGAGGATATAAAAACAAACTAATGTTCATTCCACCTAGATGACTTTTTGTTTCAAATATTTTTTTCTCTTTATCATTGATATAAAAAAATTCACATATTCACTCATTATGAGAATAGAGAAAAATGAAATTTTATTCTTGATTTAATTCAAGAAAATGAATGATATCTAGGTAATATTATCAGAGGATTCCTTTTTTCTTATTTTGTGTCGTGTCTTCTATAGAGAGAAAGAAAGAGAGAGCGACTTGATTAAAGGAAGCGTTCTCAATTGGCTCTTGATTGACAAGAAAGTGAAATCGTCGCGATCTGACGCTTACTGTGTTTCCAGATAACGTTTTGAAGTGCTTGATTACAAAAACCAAATTTGCTTCCTTCTAATATATGATTTTCTATGATGTTATGTAATCTTGCGCCTCAGTCTACTTTTCTAGCTATTAATATGGACACCTTTAATCAAAATCACTCTTAATTTTTGTTTCTTTAAAAAGGGTTTCCATTTTTGTTAATTGTTTAATAATTCAAAAAGCATTAACAATTATGACAGCAATCTTCATTACTTTATATGTTTGTTTGTTGTCTTGAGGGGAAATTTGCATGTTTAGGAATTTTTATCAATACACACTTTAATTATTCCTTCTTACTATTTTATTCTCCCTTCGTCTCATGGTTTGGATGGTTTTCTTTTTATTTATATGGTTTGTTATTTATATTCAGAGCCGGCACTTTCATACAGCTGCCTTTGGCATTAGATTCTCCCTCAATAATGACTGTTAAGACTTATGCCTACTAGAAGTATGTTATTTGAAATTGTTTTTGTTATTATGGCAAGATATTGTATTGGAGGTTCTGATATCAGTTAAAGCTTTTTATATGGAAGCACCGACCCTGTCTTATTTTCCTTGCCTTTATCATCTCGAAATATGAATGTATTTATTTATGCTTTCCTTCTTTTTCATTAATCATTATCAATGTTACTCTACGAGCAAATAATTGCTAATAATTTTCGGGGACTGACTTTTTCATTATCATCTTCATAATAAATACGTAATAATTTAAAATATTGATTCAAACATTAAAATAGATATTTTTTGTGAACTACATCTATCATAGATTATTATTTTTTAGATTTTTTACTCTTTTTTCCTCAATATAGATTTTTTTTTTGTTTTTCTCTTACTCTTCTTCTTTTACTTGATTTTCTCGAATGAAAGAATTTTTTTTTCTTAAAATAAAATGTGTGTATGCATGCGTGTGTGTCGGTGTGTGTAATTGTGTATAAATGTTTCTCAATTTTTATATAATTATTTTAAATTTTCTTACTCTGTTTTTCTTCTTATTCGTCATCATGCACACAGTCATCATGCTAAGAGGATGACAATTTATTTGTTCGGCAAATTTTGGTGTCGCAACAATTTCCCTTGGTTGGAACTTAAAATTCTGCGAACTCTTTTGCACACTTTTCCGTACTAGAAATTCGGAGGGCTTCCTCCTCATAATCATCGAAATTGCTAGTATCGCCCGGTCCTTTACATCTTGGAATAAAAGGTGCTTCAATTTTCTTCTGGAAAATGGCGATCCAGTCTGTTGAGGCGAACCATTTATGGTTCTTTATGTCATTAACTCCAGCTTTCAAATTTCCATAGCGCTTAGTTAAATCTACTTGCAGTAAAAATTTGAGTAAATCTTTCAAGTCAGATCCAAAGTGAGATGGGAATCTAACTTTGCCCGAAACAATTTTTTCATAAATTTGAATAGGTTGATCTGCAAAGAATGGTGGATAACCAGCAGCCATTTCATACACCAATACTCCAAGTGCCCACCAGTCTACAGCCTTGTTGTATCCCTTGCTAAGAATTATTTCTGGGGCAAGATACTCAGGTGTCCCACACAACGTCCATGTTCGCCCTTTTACTCGCTTTGCGAATCCAAAATCTGTTACTTTCAAGTAACCTTGAGAGTCTATTAACAGATTCTCCGGTTTTAAATCACGATATATTAAATCTAAGTAGTGGAGATATTCAAATGCAAGAACGATTTGGGCAGCATAAAAGCGCGAGTGCGGCTCCGAGAAGCGACCGACTTTGCGTAAATGTGAGAACATTTCTCCACCCGGTACATACTCCAGCACCATATACAAGTTCGAATTGTCTTTGAAGTGATACTTCAAGCTGACCAAAAAGGGAAAAGAAATTGCTTGTAAAATCCTTTTTTCATTCAATGTATGTTCCACTTGTTTTAACTTCACTACTTTTTGTTTGTCCAATATTTTCATAGCAAAATAGTCCTTAGTCGGTTTGTGTTGGACTATCATTACACGACCAAAACTACCCGTACCCAAGGTTTTTATACGGTCGAAATCGTCGAGGGATGCAGTATTGGTTGGATTTCTTTTCCATTTTTCTTCGAAATCTTCCTTTGCTTGTTCGAGAAATTCTTTAACACTTTCAGCAGCATCAACTTTTTTGTTAGCTGATGTAGCGTTATTTCCCATTGTTGATGGATTTAAACTAAATAAATTTAATGAAGATTGTGGAGGAGTAGTAGAAGTGGAGGATATTTTGCCAGAAGATGTTATTAAATTTAAATCAGAATCGCTACTGTCTTTCCTTGTGTCCAGCCTGACTTCTCAGCGTTTTACTCTCGCCAAAATATACTTTTTCTTTTTTAAATTTCTCCGTTTTTCTCACACAATCAATATTAAAAAATTAAATAAGAAATTTTTTTTTGATGCAGATATTTTTAAGAAAATAATTTTTTTTTCTTCAATATATATTTTCACTTGTGTCCTATTCTCAAACGATGCTCTTTCCTCTTCTCAAACTTAAGAATTGCTTGTATAAACCGCACACAAAGATATTAAACAAAATTTGGGCCCATTTTACTAATGATTAGTCTAATTTTAAATTTTCACAAGATTTTCTTCGGAAAGAAAATTTTTTTCTTTTCTGAAATGGCGATTTAGTGTTGCCATCGATTAATTTTTATACACGATAGCAGGTGAAGTCTCTAGAAACACACCACAAATATTATCAGGTTGAATTTGGTGAACTTTAAATATTTTCGTTAACTGTCAAAGAAATAAAAGTTATTTTGTTGCTTAACTGAAGAATTTTAATTTTTAATGTGAAATAAATTATGAATTACCTATTTCATGTCATAAACACATCTTAAAGTCAATTTATTCAAATGTAATGGCATTTTTCTTTAATCCAACTTTTTAAATTTCTTTAAGAAAATCAATCATTTCAATGTATTTTGTCATAAATATTGTTACTAGATCATAAAATAATAGAAGATATGTATGTATTAATTCTGGATTAATTGCAATTAAAAGTTATTTAGTTACGATTGTTATCAGATGTCTACAGATTTTGAATTAATGAAAATTACCTATTTCTTAACACGTTCATTCACCCTAAGACTTCTCATTGCCCCGCGCGGGGTCCGGCACCAGTTTCCATACAAAGTGCTATTGAAAAATTGAATTTCATCTAGAAGTAATTTTTTGATCCCTGTTAAGGAAATGTCGCTCAAACCTAGAAGAATACTGTTCGATGAAGTTTGGGGATGTCTCAAAACTACTGTGGAAAAAGTTATCACACTGAGAGCTGTGAAAAAAGACAAATGGAATGATAGTTTCAAGTAAGACGTTCATAATTTTCTTTTGTTTTCTTTTTTGACGATGATGAGCAGTTTTCCTAAAGCAAGATATATTTAATTCAGATAAGTAAAAATTCTTTAATTTCGTTCTTTTCATTCTAGCGATGTTTATTCCATTTGTGTTGCATATCCTGAACCATTAGCTGATCGATTATACACAGAAACGAAACTTTTTCTCGAAAATCATGTTAAATCACAACTGGATGATTTTGGTGTTTACATGATGGAAGTAAATGATACAGATAATTCTCAAAATCAGCTTCTCCATAAATATTACAGCGCATGGAAAAACTACAGCGAAGGTCTTGGTTTCCTCAATAGTTTATATTCGTAAGTTGCTTGTTTTCATTTCATTCAACGCAAATTTACTTAAATATTCACTTGATCGTTAATTGTTATTGTGGCAAATGTTTTCTATTTTTAGATACTTAAATCAACAACACATCAAGAAACAAAAGGTATCAGAGGCTGAAATTCTGTATGGGAACGGTGGTCACTTGTCTGTTGCACAAGAGCAGATGGAAATTGGTGAACTTGGACTTGACATTTGGCGTATTTTCATGATTCAAAATCTTGGAGATATTCTTGTGAAGCAAATTCTTCAAGGAATTGAACGCGATCGTGTTGAAAGCAATTTATCGTCCAAAGATATTGAAACACTCAACGGAGTCATTCATAGCTTTGTGATGGTTCAAGACTATAAAAAGAAAGGAAATTTGAAGCTTTACGAGAATATGTTTGAGGGGAAAATGTTGGAAGCTTCAGGTGAATATTTCAAGTCGCAAGCATCGAAACTTCTGCAGACATGTTCAGTTAGTCAGTATATGCAAGAAGTTATACGAATACTAGACGAGGAAAATATCCGAGCCCACAAGTTCATGCACATAAGTTCAATTCAAAAGCTGAAGAAGGAATGTGAAGATCGAATGATCACCGATCACAAATATTTTCTCTACTCTGAATGCAAGGATATGGTTAGCAATGACAAACGTGATGATTTGAAGAACTTGTATACACTTTTAAAGCCAATCGTTGATGGCCTCAAGGAACTGATTCAATTTTTGCTTGAACAGATTAAAAACGAAGGCACTGAATCTGTAATGAACTTAAAAGGAGAAAATGTGAGTTGATGAAATAGCGGGGTCAATATCTGATTTTATTTGTTTCTCTTTTACAGATTCATATTCAATTTGTTGAAAATATGTTGCAAGTTCATCAAAAATATGAGAATTTGATTAGTGAGACATTTAAAAACGATCCATTGTTCTTGAGTGCTCTCGATAAAGCTTGTGCTAGTGTCATAAATTCAAAACTTTGTGATGGAAAGACAGCTTGTCGCAGTGCGGAATTGGTGAGTTATAATTTCCATCTTTGCAAATCTGTTTTGACCTCATTTTGAATGTCTTGAAGGTTGCCAAGTATCATGATAGTTTATTGAAGAAATCAAAGTCAACAGAAAGTGAAATCGAAACAAAACTTACAAAAAGCATAACCATTTTTAAATATATTGAAGATAAGGACGTTTATCAAAAATTTTACAGTCGAATGCTTGCAAAACGGTGACTTTATTAGCAGAGATTAGAAATATTCATTAAGAAATTTATTTTTCAGCCTTATTCATGATCAATCGGTCAATATGGAGTTGGAAGAAGTAATGATTAATAAATTGAAGCAAGCATGCGGCTATGAGTTCACCAATAAATTGCACAGAATGTACACAGATGTTGGAATCAGTATGGATCTAAACAACAAATTCAATCAACATTTGAAAAACCAAAACAATGAACTCCACATTAATTTGTCAATTAAGATTTTACAAGCAGGTGCTTGGCCACTTGGACCTCAAACAGCGATTCCCTTTGCTGTTCCTCAAGAGTTTGAGAAGCCGATAAGAGATTTCGAGACATTTTATAATCTTAAATTTAGTGGACGAAAATTGTCGTGGCTTCATCATTTGTGTCATGGCGAGTTGAAAGTTTCATTAGCGAAGAAGTCTTATCTGATAACAATGCAAACTTATCAAATGGCAATGCTATTGCTATTTGAAAATTGTGATACTTTATCTTGCAAGGACATTAAAGACGTCCTTCAACTCAATAACAATGAAAACTTCCAAAAGCATCTTCAATCATTAATTGATTCGAAATTACTGACTGTTGACACCGAGGTAAGCTGAAGAAAGTTTACCAACATAATTAAATATTTTAATTCATTACAGAAAATTGAAGAGTCTTCAATTGTTTCATTTAACTTGGATTTCTCGAATAAGCGCACAAAATTCAAGATTACAGCGTCATTACAAAAAGAGTCACCTCAACAAGAAGTAACATTTATTGATATATATTCTTGACATTAACAATTTTATTAAAGCGAGTTTTATTTGTTTTCTTTTCTTTATTACTTATTCAGGTGGAACAAACACATACGCAGGTCGATGAAGATCGAAAACTTTATTTACAAGCTGCAATCGTTAGAATTATGAAATCTCGTAAAGTGCTCAAACATAATGCCTTAATACAAGAGGTGAGTTTTATTTCTTCTGTTCTTTTATGTCTTTCATTTTATTTCTTCTCACAGATTCTCTCACAATCGAAAGTCAGTTTTGCACCAAGTATCCCAATGATTAAGAAGTGCATCGAGTCATTGATCGACAAACAGTACATTGAACGCACAGCAAATTCAAGCGATGAATACAGTTACGTCGCATAAAAAAATGTTGATGGGGAAATCCTACAAACAACTCGAATTCATAGTCGTACTCTGCTAAAATCTCTTCGTTTCTTTAAAAACGATTGTTGATAAATTATTTAAATTCGAAGCTTTATGAATTTAATAAAGTTGAATTTCTTTTTAAAATCGTTTCATCAGAAGTGTCAGAAAATAAATTTTATGTTGATCGTTTTCAATCTTAATTGGTTTCTTAAAGTTGTGTTTTTGAATAAAAGAATGTTTTGCTACTTATTAACATTTTTCCAAGATTATTTTACTTTTCTAGTTTTCATTTTCAGACGGTCTTTATTTGAATCGTGAAACCCTCATTAAAATATATATCAATCTTCAAAATTATGACTTGTACTCCGAAAGTCCACATGAATTCATTCTAGTTGGAAAAAAACGAAGACATGAAAACAGAAGTCGAAAGAATTTAAAGCTTTTCAGAAACGGAAACAATTCCGGAAGTTTAAAACAATTCGATGTATATTGAAAGCGTGGAGTAAAAAACCTGAGAAACGGAAGAGCCAAAGGCAAAAGACTGACAACCTCCGAATCTACATAGCTTGAATTTATTCAAGTCTGTTAATATAATATTTGTAAATTTTTTAAACTAGCATGACGAGAATAAAACACGAATTGAAATATTCATCAGTGGTGTCATATTTATATCAAAAACATAACAAAATAAATATAAATATACAATAAATATCACTTTTAAAATCTCTTTTCCCTAGGGATTGATGTTTTTCCTTTTTCCCTGATTCTTCATAACCAAGGAATTTTGAGAACCTCTAGTAATTGATCGTGATTTCATCGTAATTAAATTTTTACGTTACCATATAAACTGAATAGATGCACATTCAGTTCATGCGGTAACATAATAATTTAATTCTATATTCAATAATTTAATGTAAATTATATCAGTCTTCTAAAGCTTGTTGTAAAATTCGGTGGTACAAAGGATCAATTTTCATTTATTAAAAAATAATTTTTTCATTTTAATTAATCAAAAACTAAAATAAAGATTGAGAGAACAA